AGCTCAATTTGAGCACCCAAAATTGCTCTCCTGGGAAGTCCGAGGAGCTCAATTTGCATGCTTTGTGCTCAAAGTTAAAAATGAATCCAAATCATTTCCTGAAGTCTTTCATATCATGCACACACACTTGCATCAGAACTGAGAAACAGATGCGACTGTTCACTACAAATTGAGTGCTTAATTCATGTCAATTTAATACAAATAATAGGTTTAAATTTTACTTGTTTGTGAATCATCCTGATGTGGAATTGGAAATAAAAATGAAAAACAAATTGGAGTTGACTTGTGGTTCTTTAGTGTTTCTTTTTTGTTCTATTTAACTTCGTTTTTTTATATTCACTTTATTTTATTTTTATTTTTTGGTTTATTTACTGTTTATTTCAGTTTTTATTTATTGATTTTTTTTTATCAAATAGTTTGTTTTGGTTTACTAACTTTACTAAAAACCTGTTTTTGTTTAAATTTGCATATGTATCATGTGGTGTAACCGTGTTTTTGAAGGGTTCTAAATTTATATCCAAATTGATGAATAGAGCCCCCTCCCCCCCCCCCTCAAAAAAAATCCAAACTAATTTAAGTCTGGTCATCATACATCTGTCAAAGAAATACTTTTTTTGTCACATAAATCCTCAAAATTAGTAAAATAGAAAAGGAAAATAATTATATGAATATTTGGTTTTGGGCACAAAAAATAAAAGGATCGAAAGTAAGGTCACAGAAATGTACAAGTATTAAATGCCATTGCAAAATGTCGAATGGTACTACGCACAAACAATGTCACCGTGCACGGGTGGCCAGTTGACCGGCCGCGCTTGCGGGCATAGCCCGGTAGTCGACACACGGAAAATCGCTCTGCACTCTACCGTTGTGGGACAAATGAGCTCAACCTTTCGTAAGGTATTTCCAACCCAAACTTGTCAAAAATGAACGCTAGTTTCTTGTAGATGTACCGGAGATCATTCAAAATGCCGTTCAAAAACTCTGGCTCCCTTTGGAATATCACAACTTCCAGAAAAACGGTGTAATTTCACATAGGCCTACCCACTGTTAATTGTCTGGCTGCACAGTATTAGATCGCGCACAAGTAGGCCTACGCATTATGCGTGGGATCGGGACTGGAAACCGTCGCGATCACCCGGCACCACACTCAACACGTGTGCTTGGGCCACGTCCATTTTATCGAAAAATAGGGGTGTTGGTATTACAAAGTAGGTGGTTTTAATTGCTCAGCCCATCCATTTCATAATTGTTTTGTGTTTTCACTTCATAGGAGGTTTATATATTTAGTTTTACATTATAAATATTTATAAACTAATTTATAAACTGATCTCAACCGAAATTATTATTTCATTTTATTCACTTAATGGCGGTGCACGTCTGAATGACGATCCTGCCAGTACCCTGCCTTGATCATTATGGAACGTGCTACATGTCGTTGATGAAAAGAAAATGGCTAATACATGATGTATGGGATGGCTCGAGTAACTGCGATGTTTACAAAATCCTTGCGATGATTATGGGTGGATTTTACGTAGCTTTTCGACTTACTTTTGTTGATTTTTTTTGCAACAAAATCGTTCAAACATCGGGATGACAAGTTAAGAAATCAAGTATATAAAATTTGGATTTACAAGATTTTACTGTTGGCTTTATGTAGACAAAAACTGGAGTCGACAATTAATAAGCTTACAAATTTACCCAGGAGCGCTATTATTCGCATGCCAGAAACCGTGTTAAGGAGCGCGAAGGAGCGCGATCGCGCTCCTTAAAAATGAAGGCCTGACGTCATTGGTAGATGATTTGAAGAATACTTTTAGCCAAAAGACTAACACCGTTAAAAGCAAGTTCATATCTATTACCATTTTAAAATAATAAGCCACTTCCGGTTTTGGCCTTTTTGGACCGGAAGCAAGGGTCACGTGATTTCACGCACACCGAATGAAATAAAGACCTCAACCTACTCTACCACTTGCCGGTAACAGAATGCTGCGGACGCGTACGGTTGATTTCTTATGCATTTTTAAATATTAAAAGTGTCACAATTTAATTGCCTATAAATATACACCGGATGACGTCATCATGACGTCATCATTACACAATGTTGTTTGAATTAGGGTCTTTGCTTGGACAAAGATTGGTGCAAATGAATTACTGGCAAAGAGTCAAAAATGCCCTTTGAAAATCGACAATTTTTTTTTTATTTCTGTGTACAAAGTCTATGGGAAAAATTAAATATTCAAAATTCTATAATAAATTAGTCGATGACGTCACCATGACGTCAATGTTCGGCACACAACTTCAGGTGCTGGTCTAAGTGTGTGCCAAGTATAAAGGCAATCGGATTGATTTTAGTGCCCAAAGTGCTGGTAACAAAAAAACATGTACAAATGCTATGGGAAAAATGACTGAAAAAGGAAAAGAAAACTAGAGCTGTATGTCTGTTTGCAAACAGAACACAGGGCTTTTTCGCATTTTACAAATATTTGTTTCGTTTGTCCTTTTGCAGTCACTTTTTAGAGTGCTTCATGCAGTTAAAGGTTGTTCAAAACGCTTAGAATAATTCCTAAAGTATAATTTTATCAAATGATGTCACTTGCCCTGCAATGACGTCATCCTTAATACCCTTCTCAATGCACATTTTGTCATTGTGATTTTGGTTTGAACCAAGTTTAATGTCAATCCGATGAAAGAAAGTGTGCAATTTGTGGAGGCAGAATAAAATTATAAATATCTAAAAATTATAAAAACCAAACGATGACATCATCGTGACGTCACTTTTAACTTTGTATACTAGTACCATTATTTACCTACCCACTAAGTTTCATGACAGTCAGACCTTTCCTTATATATGTATTTTGAAAAATCGCATTTTTATGACGTCATAGTGATGTCAGATATTTTACAAATACTTTTTACCTAACAGACCAAATACACACAGAATTTTGAATTTTGCATGTTACGTTCATGAGATATGGCTAAAAGGTCAAAAACTTCAAATATTCATATAAAATCTCCGGATGACGTCATCATGGCGTCACCTAATTTGTTTTTATCTATAACACATCCCGGTCTAGCCACATACCAAGTTTCAACCCAATCAGACTTACAGTTCTGTAGATATAGGACTTCATAATTTGCACGTAAATTTTCAAAAATCAATAAAAAAAATTAGGTGATGACGTCATCATGACGTCATAGTCTTGGCATAATTTTTGTATGAGGGTCTTCCTTGGCTGTAACATTGATGACCATTCCAGATCGCCAAGTTATAGAAATGATGGCTTGAAAACGTGTACAAAGTCAATGGGCTAAACACGTGTACAAAGTTAACAGGCTAAAAAAATCCCACTAAAGAAAAATTGCACCTTTAAATTTGTAATTTGCCTTTGAACTGAAACATTTTTATGAAATATTACTTGATATTCTGACCCTTAGGAATATGTTCAATCGAATGACAGCGCGAAAAAAATACGATTTTTCTTTCCTTCTCATAGTAATTCTCGGCTGAAGTTCAGAACTACTCAGTAAGATATCAGTGTTGCATAGGAAAAGACTTGTGGAAAATCCCACTGCAGAAAAACTGCACCTTTAAATACGCAACATAGAGCTTTTCGGCATTATGATTTTTTATTAAACGTCCCTGACTATGCACATGCATTAACATAAAATCTGTCAAAGTTAGCCGAAAATCGGCTAAAACGGTCACTGTGATGTGGACAGGATTTGACCTCGGCAACACGTGCTCTGCAGGCTGACTGACATACGATGTATGTGCGTAACGTACGTGTATGTACATATAGACGTTCTGTGCATGTTTTAGAGCAGAGGTATTGTCAACCTGAAGTTTTAAGTGTGCACATGGCATGTCCGAGTTCGCTTATTGCCTCGAAGCTTTGAAATGTTTTAGACCTATCCTTAAATCGACAATTAAAGTAAAAACTAACATAAAAACTGCCATGGTTGATTTTTCAGGAATTTTCAAATGAAAAAAGGGTCTTTTTATTATAACTTCCGGTCTGATGACGTCATTCGCCTAAAACTTCGCACACGTCTTAAGTGGGTCAAGGTCATCATATGCACCAATATTTAGGCAATTCCGACAAACTTCGCCACAGACATCTATTCAAAATACATTTTTGCAAATTTTCAACCTGTCGCTAGAGGGCGCTCGAAGATTGCATGACGTCATTGGTAAATGATTTGAAGAATACTTTTAGCCAAGAGACTATCACCGTTAAAAGCAAGTTCGTATCTATTACCATTTTTAAATAATAAGCCACTTCCGGTTTTGGCCTTTTTCGACCGGAAGCAAGGGTCACGTGATTTCACGCACATGGAATGAAATAAAGACCTCAACCTTCTCTACCACTTGCCGGTAACAGAATGTTGCGGATGCGTACGGTTGATTTCTTATGCATTTTTAAATATTAAAAGTGTCATAATTTAATTGCCTATATATACACACCGGATGACATCATCATGACGTCATTATTACACAATGTTGTTTGAATTAGGGTCTTTGCTTGGACAAATAGTGGTGCAAATGAATTACTGGCAAAGAGTCAAAAATGCCCTTTGAAAATCGACAATTTTTTTATAAATTTCTGTGTACAAAGTCTATGGGAAAAATTAAATATTCAAAATTCTATAATAAATTAGTCGATGACGTCACCATGACGTCAATGTTCGGCACACATCTTTGCTATAGGGACTATGCTTGTGCAAACTTAGAATGATGTATGACAAAGATTATTGCCAAAAGTCGAGGCCAGAAAAAAACATGCACAAAGTCCATGGGGTTTAGGCGACAAAAAGAAGAAAGAAGATGAAGATGAAAAAAAAAAAAAATGAGAACAGAAAGAATGGCTTTTAAAATTGCGAAAAAGCCAAAAATATAAAAAAAAATAAAAATCTTAACGAAAACAAAGGCTGTTTCGGCAAAGTGCCGAAACAGCCAATAAAGTTAAATATACAACATTCTCAAACATTATGAGAGTTACCTTCATGTACGAGTGCTTCAAAAGCTCTGACAAGGACCTGGGATGGAAGAGTACCCTCTGGAGCCTCTATGCCAAGATTCACATCACTGTCGCGAAAACCGAACCCACTCAGTGATGAACCATACAGATTCACCTTCACATCTGTGACCAAAATAGTAAGTAGGAAATAAATACATCAACTGGTTTGTAAAGGTATGCTGCAACACTTTCCTGTTCCTGTAGTTTTGCTTGTGTTGATAACTTTACCTTCACTAGAAATAAACATTCCACTTTTAATAAAGTGAACATATTAAATATTATCTTCGAGCAAACTTGAATCCTCGACTCTGATTGGTCGATCCATGGCAACAAACCATTCTCTACCCTACATTATCCCATGTAGCACGGCCTACACCGCACTCCGCATATCGTGCCATTCTAAGATGTCCGCGCCATTCTCGTGGCACACACGTATAGTAAGAAAACCACTTTACATGTACATTAAATGTACAGCAAATTTATCTTCAAGCAAATGCACCATACTATATAAATGACATTTACATGTATATAGTATGGTGCATTTGCTTCATGGAACATGTCTGCATCCCACTCAGCCTTCGGTCTTGTAGCATGTGGGATGCAGACGTACTATGCTATTCCGTGTCCACTCCCGCTCATGGGATAACTAATAGTATACTGAACCACAGGCTTATTTCATGAAACGTATAGGAAGAGTTCCCCCCCCCCCAGTCGTGTGGGAGGGGTCTACTAGCGAATACTTACCTGTAGAGCTACTACCTATGCATATTTCCCTAAAGGGCGCAATACATCCGCTATGAGTTCACACAATAGGCTACCCACCGTGCCCCACGCCAGGCCACCATCTTAGCTTCCTCTTTTCTCGAGTGTTGATACTCCTCTAACATTGTGTGCTTTAATTCCGGGAACCTGTTCTGATTTAGCCGGCCAGTCCTGACTGGATGGCTTTCACAATCCAGGGTGCGATTGTCTCTCGTGAAGCTGGTCGGTACGGGTGAACCAATGTAATGAACAGGTTTGTTGTATCTCCCCTGATCAGTTCTGTTCTGTTGATATACCATTTCAAGGCACGAACTGGGCACCATTTTCTGTCTTCCGGAACTGACGAGTGGAATTTAATGTCCGGGATGAAGATATCGGGGGAAGAAAAGGAGTCATATTGGTTCTTGGTAAGGAATAACGTGTGGGGAACCAATCTCACTCTGTGAGGTTCCCAGCGAATATGGCCAGGCTGCAGTGATAACGCCTGTAGTTCGTTTCAGCGTCGCGATGTGGCGACTGCTAGCAGGAAGGCGAATTTGACTGACAAGATGAGGAGAGACGCCTGCCCTATAGGTTCATAAGGGAAGAGATTTTCCCACGTTCCTCCCATTCTGAACGGGAATTAACTTAACCCAACAATAGGCCCGTTCTCCCGGGGTAGAACGCCCGGCTTACCAGGCGCCCAGCGAAGTACCCGAGCTCATTAAAAGTCTCATTGTGTGAGTCCTTTAAGATGTTAATATCCCGTTCTCCCGTGTGCACGGCCGCCAGCAACGGCAGAGGTATGTGAAATACGGTGATGTAAACACATGAAAAGAAACATGCATTTAATGGAATTATTTAAATATGCATGAGGCACTTCAAAAATCCATAATTCAACAATAAATCCATTAGCTGTCTTAAAATTTGTTTTTGGAGAATTTGTTTGCTGAGAAAAAGTTATTGGAAATTGTTTTTGAGACGTCAAAAAGCATCCAAAAATTTTAACATTGATTCCTTGGTCGGAGAGTCACCTCTGGCTGACGCCACCCGTTGCGTTTGGGGTTCGCGACTTAATACGTCCCCCGCAATCAAGGAATCACTCCCTTTATTCCCCTATATATCTCTTAACAAATTAATGTTCAAATAAACTACTCACAAATTGTATTTTTTTTTAACGGATGAGACCCTACATAGTCAATTACAGAAGCCGCGAGAAGGTATTAACTCGAAAGAAAAAAACTTTTTTTTTTTTTTTACCTATGGTGGTTCCCCAATGGAGAATATTCTTGATATTTAACATTGACATTGCTGCAGCCAGTGTCTCACACACTACCTACCTTTTTGTTTCCCGGCTAAGCAGCAACGTTCAGGGAGTAAATTGTGGCACATTTCTCTTCAAATACACACAACTACATTGTATAAAACATGTACCTGTAACTTTGCTTTCCAAGACGTATTCTCAATTTGTTGAACATTTAAAACAAGGTGGTTTTTTTTTCAGTTACAGGAAAGAAAGTGAAAGTCGGACGGTGCAATTCTTCACGGCGGATGTACGTCGACACAATATATTAGATGGCCCAATAATGAAGGCTCAAAAGAATGCATACGGATGTTATTAACTTCTTTGTTGGATAGTTGATAATTTTACTGTTGGGACCATTAGTATATACCTGCTCATGCTTTTCAAGATCCACACCAAAAAATGGTTTTGTAATACCAGACATCGAACGAAAAAATGACCACCAACGATTCACGATTGTTACAATTGTATATAAATGTAGCCAGCCACGCTGATCTGACAGTAGATAACCAGTGGCAATCAACCACGTGCTTAGGGCATTAATTTAGTCCATGTGTTGGTTGGTGGGTCCAGCTGGGATCGGATAATTAGGAATATTTCCTTCAGTCCTCCATCAGATGTCACTATTGTAAAATGTGGCACATTTCCCTTCAAATACACAAAACTATACAACAGGTACATGTAACTCTACTTTCCGAGACGTCTGCTCCATTTGTTGAGCATTTTAACAGTTAAATCACTATCCATCTTCTACTATACATCGCCTGCAAGAGATGAAGAAGACAACAAACATTATTTTATCCAAACAATATTTTCAAAGTCTCCTTGTCAATTTCAGTGTAGAAGATGTTTCTCCCGATATTAAATGTGCAGTTCCCATTATCCACCGTCGTCACCGCACAGGTCTATTGTACTACCGTGCTGTGGGCACTCAGTGTGACCATTTCATTGTGCTATTGTTAGGCAATTTCAGGCATTATCCCGCGGTCGGAACGGGGCCCAGGCGAAGGCGGACGTCCGGGGGGATTAAGAACAATAGGCCCCTTCCTCCCGTGCGCTCGCGTCAGAACAGAAAGAATCCTTTTGAGCTCTTCCCTAAGGAGGACGTGAAAGTGTCCTCAGTACCTGCGGTAGGTCCCAGGAAGGAAGAAGTTTCCGCATAGAGGGCCTGGAGATGAACATCCCTCGGAGGATGTGACCCAAGGCATGGTTATTGGAAATTGATGAGCCACTGGGAAACCTCCGTGGATGGCTGCAATGGCTGCTCAGTAGTTCTTTATTGTACATGTAGGTACCGAGAGGCCAGAGTTGAACAGGTAGACAAGAATGTCACCAATATCCGTTAAAAAAGAATTGACCGGTTCAGTAGCTTTCCGTCTGCACCATTTTTTAAAATGTCGAAATTGGCTGTTGTAGACTTTCCGGGTAGTTGGTCTCCGACTCTGTGCCGCAAATGTTGCAGCTTCTGCCAAAAGACCAGCTGATTCGAATGGTCGTTGGACAATGTCCAGCCTGTCAGGTGAAGATCCTGGGGAGCTGGGTGAATCGTGTTGGCATTTGGTTTGAACAGGATGTCCGGACGATGTGGCAGAACTAGTGGATTTGTAAACTGACAGGTTGATCAGTCTGGGAAACCATGTCTGCCGAGGCCAAAACAAGGTCACGAGGAGAATTCTGCAGTGTTCCTGTTCTATCTTTGTGAGTACCCGTGCAATCAGGGATATTGGAGGAAAGGCGTGTGCAAACATTCCCGTCCCTGGGATCGACAGATCATCGGTGTGCCATGCTTGTGGATCGGGGTGTCTTGAGCAAAAAAACGTCAGCTGGTTGTTGGCTCTTGTTGCCAACAGGTCTATGTGTGGGCGATTGATAGTCAAGATGATCTGATCTGATCTTTCCCGTGGAGAGGGCGTCGGCTGCAGTGTTGTCCGTGCCCGGGATGTGTGTGGCTGTTAGCATTATGTTGGGATCCCGGCACCAATGGAGCAAGTCCCACACGAGGAGGCAGAGTTGGGCTGACCGTGTGCCTCCTTCGCGGTTGATGTATGCCACCACTGTTGTGTTGTCCCATTTGATTAGGACATAGTGGCCTTGGATAAGTTGACGAAAATGTCGGAGAGCGTTGGCTACTGCCTGCATCTCGAGGACATTGAAACGTAGATTTTCCCGATGTGGGTCCCACTTCCCTGTGATTTGCGCGGGTGAAGTGTGGCACCCCAACCAAGAAGGGATGCATCCGTAGAGATGACCTTCGTCAGTTGTGTTTTTTTGAAAAACATTCCGCATGCAATATTTTGAAGGTCCTTCCACCACTGAGATGTGAATGGAGAAAGGAAGTGACCGGAACCATGCGATGGATGGAGTGAAGCTTCGAGCGGTAATGTGCAAGGAGGTGGAGCTGGATAGGACGCATGCGGAGCCGACAATGTGGAACAAGATACACCGTGCTTACTATAAGCCCCAGTATTTTCAGTCATGCTGCTGCTGGGCTGATGCATCCGCCTGGAGGAAAAGTTGGATGCACTTTTGGAGTTTTCGTATTTGTATGTCCTTGGGGAAAGCCCCCAGGAACGTCGGTGTTTGTGTTGGGGTTAAGTGTGATTACTTCTTCTTGATCAGGAACCCCAGTAATGTTTATTGAAGGGCTCGGAAGGCTGTCCTTGAATGGCCGACAATGAGCCAGTCGTCCAGGTACATAAGAAATATGATGTTTTATTAAAAATGTAGGAATTCGCAATGCTGTGGGTGTATGGATACATGTAGGTAAGCATCTTTCAGATCGAGAGATGTAGCCCATGACAGAGTTGGAATCGAGTTGAGGATTGTTCGGAGAGAATCCATACGGAAACGTTTGGGGCGGACAAATCTGTTGAGTGGTTTCAGGTTCAAGATTGGTCGCCACGTTCATGTGTTCCCTTTGGGTGTTAGGAAAAAGGTCAACAGGAAACCGGACGGTTCTCTTCCCAGGGGAACTATGCGAACTGTGTTTTTGGTGAGGGAGGGACTCGATGTCTTTTTCCAAGGCTATGCATTTGGCTGGCTCGGCTGGAACCTTGGTTTGACGAATTATGGTGTCTGATGGGGGGTGCTTGTAAACTCTAGAATATAACCGAACTGGATCGTTTGAAGCACCCACCGATCGGAGACGGCCTGGGACCAGGACCCTGTAAAAGCTTGAAGGCAGCCGCCCACAGGTCCGTGAGGGGCCGCTGAAGTTCTGGAAAGTCATCAACGCCAACACCCGGTGAACTGGGAGGCCGGTGGCTTGTATGACTGGCCACGCGGGCGGTAGGATTGGCCCCGGCCCTGGTTCAATGGGTGTGTCGTAGTTCGTGTGTTTGTACTTTGATTGGTTGGAAGTACAACCGCGAAAGGCCCTGGTTCGAAAAGATTTTGCTGGGCGATCAGCTGGTGGTTGGTAAGGCTTGGGCTTATGAGCTTTCGGCTGGTCCAGACCGGACTTCAATGTTGACTTGCGGAGATTAATCTTGTCCTTTGCATTGATGCATTTCGCCTCGGCCTCCATTGCTCTTCGAATTTGCCGGCAAAAAGGTCCGGTCCCATGAGAGGGACAGATTCTAGTCGTTTCTTGGCTCCTTCCGATTGGAGGAAAAGGGCGTCTAGAATGTTGCCTTGGCGGTAAGACGTTGTCAAAATCGAGATGCGTGTGAATTGCTCAAGGGATAGACGAAGAGAGTCGTCTAAGCACCGAAAAGCTGCGGAGAGCATTTTGACAGGAATTGTGGTTTTGTCCTCACAGCCCTTGACAAGATATTCAGACAGTAGGAGCATGAAGGACGTAGCTTGCATTCCAAACCTGAAGGCATAGTCGGCTTTCTTGAGAATGGTCTCCAGTTTGTTCCGGATAGGATCGGCAAACAGATTGCGAGATGAAGTACATGTAGATACACTTCCGTCTGCGGCCAACCTATCTTTGGCAGAGTCCGGAACTTGTGGCACAGTCAAGTAGCCTTTGAAATCTTTTGAGGCCTTGGAGGGCCATTTTCCGAGGGGGGTGCCCTGCTTGTCCCGGCCTTTGGGGTCACCATCACCCGTTTCCGAGTGACGGGGTGAAATCTGCAGGTGAAGGGGGGTGCCTCCAGCAGATTCAAAGTCGAGGTTAGGTCCAGGGGAGGGGGGTGCCTCCCGACATTGTGCCTCTAGAGAGGCCGGCGGTCTCATGGAAATTCCCTTCACGGGTCCCGTCGGGCCCTTAGCTGATCTCCTTTTCATTACAATAAATGTAGAAAATTAAACCAAAATACGTACTTACAGAGATCGAAACTCAAACAAATGAAGATACACATATTGAAGACAAACTCTACTTTATTAATTCGAAGAAATAATCTCTAGCAGACGTAAGATGGTGAAGAAAACCCGAGATTTTTCCGCGAGTGAAAAAAACGATCTTTCACCATCCGACGCCAAGAGAAAAGAGGATGCTACGATGGTGGTCGGGCCGCAGGGCACGGTGGGTAGCCTTTTGTGTGAACTCTTAGCGGATGTATTGCACCCTCTAGGGAAATAGTCATAGATAGTGGCTCTACGGGTAAGATGAACACTGTAGACACTAGTCTTAATTCATACACTGTACACAAAGAGTATGGATCTTTAAGTCTCCTAAATAAGGCTGCAGCTTAATAGGAAAGCCGTGCCAGACAGAAAGGGAAATATTTTGTCCAGCACACTAGGCATGCGCAATACTACCAGTGAGTCAGTATTTTATAGTCCCAAATTCACAACGCAATGCTCAAGGTGCATTCTGCCAACATCGTGCAGTACGTGCAACGCACGCGCCAATCTCCTTATAAGGTAAGGATTTGTAGAGGGACATTCCAAATTAGAGTCAGAGGGGTGTTTCATAAAACATGCAGTAAATATGTTGAACAAAATGGTTGGCAACATCTAGTTTTTGACTTCTCTTGGTTTTTGGACCAAAAAGATTTGTTTGTTTTTTACCGAAAAGGCTTTTATGAACTTCGCCTCGGGTAACTATCACCCATCCAGACTCCAACCGGTCTTAAACAGAGTGTTATACATCCCAAATACTAATTTATTCCATTATTAATAATTAAGATGCAGTACATTTGACATCGTGAAAATTAGTTCTATAGAGAAGAGATCCTAAGCTTAGGCTTAGAATAAAGTTGAGATGTACAAAGGTTGGACAAAAAGACAGATGTTCGTTGGTTTCTTTTTACAGAAAGTAGGCCTAATTGTAGGAATACGAAAGACAAGGTAGATTCTCACAAAAGCAACCACTAAAATTATGCAGAGTCTAGACCTCATGCCAGTGTTTCCCCTGGCTAATGAACTGAGCGAGGTGGTAAAAATTCAAATTGATGATTGAAACAAAATTTACGCAGTCTGCAAACTGAAAAGAATGCAGCGCTCACAGAAATGCATGATGATTGTATAGATACACATCAAAATTGTGAGTTCTTGATACATAGAGGTCAAGGAAAACGCTCATAAATTACACAAAATGAAAATTTTTCGATTAGTATCAAAATTTCCTTTATCGTTTATTGCAAATATTCACAGCGAGGTGGTGTTATTGGCAAAAATTGAGCGAGGTGGTCACTGAAAGTAGCGAGGTGGGCTGCCTCACGTTTGAATGGGCAGGGGAAACACTGCCTCATGCTGCTCCCATTTTGACAACAGATCTCAATTCTTCCCATCCCAGAAATGTTGGCAATCAAATTTTCTACTCCAATTCTACTGTTTTTATAGATACTGCATAGCTGCCAACATTTCAAAATCCCAATTAGTAATCAACCCGCGCGGTCATTTTCAACTTCTCGTTTTATCGAAAGCTTTACCAACATCAAGTACAGGTACATGGTTTACATGTACACATACATGTGCATACCCTTCTTGTTGTGAATAATAATGTACTGTAGGCCAAAAGATAATTAAAAAATAAAAAATAAAAAAATAAAAAATAAAAAATATTTTTTTTAAAATTAATCTTGTTTTAATGTCTGTATTTGTTTGTTGAAGTCAAATAAATAATAACATCAATAACATGTGCGCATATTTTTTTGGAGATGCATGCTATCGATGTTGAGTTTCGAGTTCGTATCATGTTTTTACACACAATGATCTATGGCCACCGTATGCAATAGAAATATCCCACCAACATACCTTGCAAACGCATGCTGATTTATCTTTTCTGTCCGTTGTGACAAACTCAAACTCTATTACCAATTATTCCAACCATACTCTTATTAAATTTCATGAATAAAATCTCGCACTGATGGGTCTCATCCCGGCAATAAGCGACTAAATGTGCTCACGATCGTCACTAAAAAGTACTCACATACAGTACACACAACCACACATCCACGAGATGCACACAAATGACACACCATTGAAAAATATTTTTAGTCTGGTCCTCAAGTACTCCACTGCGCACAATGCATTGATGTCTATCAGGTGCTTGACTGCATTCTTATTAGACTTGTCACCAGTCCATCCATTATCGCGACATTTAGCCAGAAGTTTTCGGTCAAAAACGATACTTTACATTTTTTTTTTTCGTTAGGTAGAAAATGGGAAATTCGTAACGTTTTAGTGGCAAATCGTAAAAAATCGTACTAGGTGGCAGCTATGATACTGTTATCCCCCCCCCCCGGTACATGTATGTTGCACAATGTACGATGAAACTTCAAAAGGTTCCAAACATTCAAGGAACAAACCTGCCAGCTTTTTTCATGATCAGACAAATGCAAACAAATTCATTGTACAATGATATCCAAAAAAAATCAAGCTAAGTAAAATTATGACAAGAACTAACCTGGCATTGTTCTGTGTAGCAGTAACTGCAAAGTGTCAGCTATGAGGGATCTCCTTTTGAGGTCAAAGTCCTTTAAGGCAATCTCAGCAACAGTAGCTTCAAGAAGTGTTGTTACAGCCTCGGCATGTGCCTTACTTGGAGCTTCAATACTCTCTATTTCTTTCATGTTGCTTTGGCTCTGACAAAATAGACAAAGCAACGATTTAATTGAAATTGAACAATTAAAAGTATGACGTGACTTAAGGACAAACATGTACAATATCTTGAAAAAAAAAAAACTACAGTGGAGCATCGCTATACTGAACACCGCTGTACCGAACATTCAGCTGTACCGAACATTGTCCTTGGCTCCCGGTTTTTATGCACAAAAACGTACCGAAAATTGTTGTTAAAACATTTCCACAGAAGAGCGACAAGTTGCTATTATTTCCCTAAGGAATAGAAGGGTTAACCCACCCATTGATGTATATACAATATACTTTTTTTTTAAAAGTACTTACCGTAGTTACGTTAAAATTACATTTACATTTGACACATATTGCACAATATTGAAGGAAAAAAACACAAACACAAACAAACAAACAAACAAAAATAAAAACAACAAAAAACAACAAACAAAAACAAAACAAAAACAAACAAACAACCTGCAAACACATTCGAATTAAAAAAAGAAAAAAAAAAAAGAACATAAGAATCAGAATCTAGGCCCACCTCCGGAAAAAAAAGGAAGGAAAGTTACCCTCTCCCCCAATAAAGTTCCTTTATTCTCTTGTACAACTGGAGATAGGAGCAACTGAAAGAGGGTTGTGTCATCTGCATATATACTGGGATCAAGACCTGACACAATTTCACCTCCTTCACTATGTCATTGATGTAAACTAGAACTTAGAGAGCTAGACCCAAGATGGACCCTTGAGGTACACCAGCTAAGACAGGGGACTTGGCAGATGTTTCCCCTTCAATAACAGTTTGTAAAAATCTGTGAGACAGGTAATTAGAGTTCCAAGTCAACTTTTTCCATGAATCCTAAACCAGATGTCTAACTTTGAAAGCAGTCCCTTGTGCCAAAAAGCATCAAACGTAATGGTGTAATGGTAAAGCATTGCACAGGCACAAATGCTGAGAACAACAAGAATTTACGCTCATACGTTGCTTGCTCAAACACTTCCTTAAAAAAATACTGCAATCGGAACTTGAGCAATCCCCCTGCCATGCTGGCAGTTTTTATACAGTCAGGCTTCCAGACACTGTGCAGTTAGATATGAGATCCGGAATGGGACCGTTCGAGAACCAGGAGAGCAGAGCCCGCCCAGTAAGCTGCCGCCCGCTTCGAATACTGTGCCCGCCCAGTTACTCAAGCGTGACGCTTGGTTGACTCCTGGAGTGGCCCTCTGGGTCACAACAATAGCTGCTATTTACGGATTAGTGGTTATTGTTCGAGAATTACAGTGCCCATCTGAGTTGGGGTTGGTTTGGAAGACACCTGGCTATCATTATATTTTTGGTGAAATTTATTCTATTTGAGCTTCATAGAATGTAAGTATTTCGTTTTTGCATGAAATCATTTGACTAAATGAACTTAATACAACTGCCTAGTTTGCAAAGTTCTATATATAAATAATGGTTAAAAGCTAGATGATCAATGTGTGCATTTTTTCCTGTGACTTTTTCAAAATACGAACGTTGAAATCTATATTCTCGGATTTGATCAAATTAAATGCCTCATTTTGTATTGAAATAAAGTATTTCCCAAATGACAAACATGAAGTGTTTTGCCTTTGGTAATAATTTGATGTTTTGAATTTTAGACTGCGACACCGCACTTGCCCCTTATTGACGTTAATTCATACGCATTTTACACAGAAAAGTCTAATGCCAGTTTGAGAATAGAAGCGGGTGGGCTTGGCCCACTTGGTAGCCCCCAATCGGTATGAATACTGGCCCCTCTGTTAGTGAAGTGTTATGCTCGGGAAGCGGGTGGGCTTGGCCCGCTCGGTAGCCCCCGAACGGTATGAATACTGGCCCCTCTGTTCTTTAAGTGTGACGCTCGAGAAGCGGGCGGGCTTGGCCCACTCGGTAGCCCCTGATCGGTATCAATACTGTGGGCGCTCGGTTATCCAAGCGTGCGCTCAAGAAGTGGGCGGACTTGGCCCACTCGGTAGCCCCCGAATCGGTATCAATACTGTGGGCACTCGGTTATCCAAGCGTGACGCTCGAGAAGAGGGCCGGCTTGGCACGCTCAGTAGCCCCCTCCCCCCAATCGGTATGAACACCGTGGGCGCTCGGTTATTCAAGCGTGACGCTCGGTTGACTGGGGTGGCTCTGTTGGTCTCAGCACTGCACTATTAACAGATTAGTGTTTATTTTTTGAGGATTACAGCGCCTGACCAACTTGCATTTGGTTTGCTCTGGCTATAATTATCTGCAGAATTTTCTTTGCTATATACATGTAGTATGGAATGACAGCATTTTGTTTGCATGAACACATGTAACTGTATATGGGTTTTACTAATTGTTTGACGTACAACATATTTTTTTTTTTTCAAGCTTTGAGTTTTTCTGATTGCTCAAACTGAACTTTATTTTTCAATAGGCCTACCGAGGCAGTGAGTCACTTAACAATAGCAGTCCACGGGAGGGATTACTGGCAGCGCGCCCTTAGATTTGCCGGTTTTTGTACCCTGGCAGTGAGGATTATCGCCTTGCAAATTGCTTCTTTTGTTAGGTTCAGGAGAGGGCCCACGAGTCAGACTTGTACTTAGTTCTCTTAATCCGAGCCCGCCCACTTCGGAGGGGAGTCCCAATCCCTTGGTCAGAGCAGGCGGGGCTTGGCCAAGACCATTGATTTCCATTTACACAGACTGGATAGGACATGTGCGTCCGAGCAGGTCTGTGCGCATGATTTTTGAAAAGGGTAAAGAACACAATTTTGCATTCGAGTTGTGTAGGCACTTTCGAACGGAGGATAAAAAATGAAGTTGGGTTTTCTTCGGTTTCTTTGTCATTTTTGAAAGAATATAAGGAACAGAGATCTTAATTGATTAAAATCGATGAGGATTATAGTCAAGGTGTGCGCAGCACTAGATTGCTGGAGTGGGGAAGTAAGGAGCGTTGAAGAATAGGACAATTATTCGCAAGTAAGTTGTTTTTTTTAACGAGGCCTTTACAACATGGCATGGAAGAATATGAACATGGGAATGACAAAACAAATTATAATATCGTTAATGTTGTCGCCCTGAGTTCGAGGGGATGGAGGCCTGTGTGGTAGCTAGCGAGATATTCTGTTCAAATTCCATGCGATCTAGGCCAGTCATGCTGGTCGGCATCATTTTTTTTGAAAGACATAGGCCTAAACATGCATGACTGACCTGGCAATGGCAATGAACAAAAGTTGACTTGTTTAAAATAGTTTATTCAAATAACTTTTATAACTTTTATATGCAAAATCTGATTGAATTATGTCTGCCTTGGCTTAACGCCTACCGAAATTTTTCTATTCTTTTTCTTTATAAAGAGAAACCGAGGAGATGGTTTATGCTAACTTACTGCACAACCGGCCGATTGACCTTCATATCAAACAAAGAACTTCAGCAAAGCCATAGCAAAAACCACCTGCAGGACGATATCCGAGACGGACGAAAATGGAGAACTTCACGGAGGGATGAATCGACTGTATCATCCACTGAATGGAACATGCGATGTGATATAGGCATATGAGAGTTTGACTTAATCAATTCTTGCGATGTGGAACTGTTAACATTGATTGATTTTGTTTTTGGAAAGAAGCTGTGGAGTTCAACGCAAGTATTTTTATGAGCTCCCAAGATGACTGTCACATTTTTGACAGTTTGTATGGTGAAGAAAGCAATGAGTACTTTTACGGTTTGAAATTATATTGTGTACGCCGTTAAATAAGATTACTAGATATAGCCATTAATACACCGTCATATTCGCTCACAAAAACGATTCCCATTACACTTACAAGTAATTATATTTATTTTAAGAAGTATAGTTAAACATTTAATTATAAACAAGACCGTGCATAGCTTGAATTATTCGTCGACAAATTAGTATAGTACTATTTGGGTTTGTGATTCATCTCCTTTCACACAATATCACAAGAGGTGAACAATGTCCTTCCCTGATCAATCTAGGGACGGGAAGAAGTTTTTACTGATTACTTTGTAAAATTAAGGGTTTTTTACCTTTTAGATTCTAATTGGTTTATGTTCATGTTTTTAATAAGTATATTAATCATTTGAATAAATCTCCATACAATTTCTCGTGTGAGTGTTCAGTTAAAATATGATGTCATTTCAGCACATTAATTATACAATAATTAATTCCATTGATGGAGTAATTCAGTGTGCTCTAATGACCAATGTGCCAAAAATGAAATGGCAATTTACTTACAATCATTTTTGGGAGGAGGAGGGATTTTAAAAAAAAAAAAAGGGAAAAGGAAATGGGGGGGGGGTTCTTGAATTTTTAAAGTGTATATCAAGAAAGTGTGGAAAAGCTGTTTGGAGGGATTGAGGGTAACTCTTCATCGTTCAGTTATTTTTTTTAAAGATTTGTTTTGGAGGAGCGCTTGAACTCCCTCCTGTAAGAAAAATTTCACTCGATAATCCATTTTCCAAAGTAAACAAAGTGAAAGCACAATGCGCGTTTACCCGTCTGACAGTAAATGCGCCGCCATTGTTCGGCCGCGCATTCGTGCACAAACACTGCACGATGTCCTATCCAGTCTGTGTATATGGAGATCAATGGCCAAGACCGTCTGGGAACCAGGCGGTAAGGGATCCCATACCTTACAAAATTACACCACCATCTTTAAATAGTGCCCGACTTAATTTAGAACAAAATATATGGGAGCCCAAAGAGGCCACATACAGCTTATACTCAATCGTAACCCCATCTATAAACACGTTAAATTTGTGCAGCAGCAGGATTCCAATCAAACCAGTGACTTTGGCGGTTTTGAGACATCTTACATTGAAAAAAAAACTTTCTAATTTTGCCGATGAGCATGGCTACAGCGACGCGCGCACACATACTGGAATTTGTATACTTGTGGAGACATTTCTTTGTTCTCGTGTAGTAAAGTTTTCGAGTTTCAAAGTGTAGCTTCAAAATGCTCTTATTTTAACCAGAATTAATTTCCTTGGCTGAAATTCG